GGGATTCCTGAGTATCTCCCAGTTTCTTGGAATTATCAAACATCAGGAAGTCCTCAGGCAAAATGTGGATTATCTGTCTCTCACGCAAGTTCATCCAAAAATTTACATCCAACTAATGTTGCAAGATGATGTCTCAAAAGAGCAAAGTATTGCATCTGGTTATAACATGTATTGGTGTTGAGGTTATAACACAGTGGCATCAGTTTTATTTTGTTAGAAGTAGATAGTTACAGAGTAATTACACTAATATTGTCATTTCCAGAAGCACTCACAAATGAGGGAGAACTGAAGTTTTTTAGTTAGCTTTAATTCAGCCTCTTTGTACATCTAGATTGAACTAGGGTTTTCTATTAAGTAATAACATACTCTTTGTTGCATAAAAAATCCTATTATACTCAAGGTATTAAAGGGATGGAGTGTTTTGGTCTTATCCTCATTACTCTGGTTATAAGACTTTCTGAATGTGACTCAAATCTGTGTTCAAATTCTGCTTTTACTGGAATTAAAAATTTCCTTGTGTTTTCTATTGTGCTTATCACAGTAATAGCACAGTACATGACAAATAACCCCCCTTAATTGACAAAACTTTCCTAAAACAAGGAAATAATCATCCTCCCACTCCACATGAAAAATGGAGGTAAAAGTATGGAGACCAAATCTGGTCTAGATAGGATCTGGGGGTTTTTAGGGTACTGAGTTCAGTGTCCTGGTTTATATTAAGTGCACAGGTACAAGTAAATTGAATATATGGTCTAAGCCTATGTTGCTTTTGCAAGTCAAGTACTCAGATCTTGGGAGAGGCATCCCTAAAATAAATGTAGTTATTGTCCACATTGAATCAGCATTTTAAAGTAATTTATGTGGAGTCATGAATTAATTCTGCGGCAGAAGCAGGGATAAAATATACTTCAGGACAGTGCTAATTTATTTTAGACCACAGTACTGTGAGCCATTTTTGTTTACTGTGTTATTTTTAACAGCTCCCTTTTCCTGTGATCCTCTTCATTTTGTTCTGAGTACCTCTGTGACCTCCCTCACTTGTGATAGCGTTAACTGTTTCTATATCTATCTGATGAGGTGTATCACAAAATTAATCAGGTTGGAAAAAAAATGAGTATCTGACTTAATTTTGACTCTTACCTGGATCTTATAAACAGCTGGATGGGCATGGGGAACAAAAGATGTGGTTGGTACCACATACTGTCAGTATGAGTGCTGGGAAAAACCTAAGCCATTTTGCCCTTCCACTTTCCTCTTTCATTAATCCCATAAAACTTACATGCTTCATTTGTTTTCATTTACTCAACAAATGACACCAGGTTCCTGTAAGCAAGAATTTTATTTTCTTGCCCCATCCTGTTAAGAGCTTTTATGTTCAGTTTCTCAACGCAATTCTGAACTTGTCTGCTGTTTTTCCTCTTGCTTGTTCTTGAAGTCCTATCAGCTGTGTTTCCAGGATGCTGTCTTTCTCTGGCTCATGTTTCTTTAATTTTTTTTTTTTTTTTCTTCAGCCTCCAAAAACAATCTATGTTCTTCCCCCCATCTCTTGCTTCCTCTCCTCTTCCACACTGTAATCAGAAGCACTTGCAGTGTGCAGTAGAGAGCAGTACAGAACTGGCAAGGGAGTAGATTGAATGACCTAATGTTTAATATCTGTGCTCCTGCCAGCTATTTTTGTTTGAGTTCAGATGTTGGTAACTGTTTGACCTTTCAAAATCTAATCTGACAATACCCAGCCCTTTCCTTGTTTACCTTTGCTTTGTTTGCTGATTCTTGTTAAGTAAAATTTTATATACATTTCTGAGGTCTGAAATACGTTTAGCCCATTTTCTTGTTGCCAACAGCTTTGATGTTACTGATTATCAAGTCATCTGTGTTTTGATCAAGGTTGCTGAATACCATTATTGAAATAGCCACATTTCAAAAGCAAAGCTTGTCTTCATACTGGAAGTTAAAGAAATTACATACTAACCACCTAAAATCACACCATGTATTTTGGCTTGCTACGAAAGCATATATTTCATGTGTCTCTCAAGCTATTGCTTATTTTTAATGATAGATTATCATTATCTAAAATATCTTTAACTTTGGATAAAAATTATGCATTTGTTCAGAAATACACTTGTAAAATCAGACAAGAAACATATTTGCACAGCCCAACATACTGGAGATGGCATCCAGGCTAAGACTCCTGGACAGTATAGTACCACAAGAACTGTTGCCTGTTTTCAAACTAAGAAAGCTGCTTTGTGTAATTTTTTTTTTTTTTTTTTTTTTTTTTTTAGTAGATGTCTTTACATGGGGGAGAGTCAGACTATCCTGCAATTGCATCTTCAGAGATCCCTTGCATTTTGTGCATTACATTGTGTTGTGTACTCACTCAGTGGAGAGGTTCTTCTAAAGCATTTCAATCAACCTTTTCAAGTCACTTCTGAAATGGCTTTTGTAAGTTGGCATCATATGTTTTAAGATCCCCACTCAACATGCTTTCAGTTTTTTAATGTAGTGGTCAGTCTGCATCAATATTACTCCAGCAGTGCACAGACTAAGTGATAGTAAAATCCAGGGAGACAGTGTGTGAAAGGTAGTATTGAAATAGTTTATTGTAGATAAAACTTACTAATCATGGTGAGATGTTCTTTTATTTTTATTTTTTTTTTTTTCCCCTGAAACTGCAGAACTTCTATGTTTGCCAGAACTCTAGGGTAGGTGAGGTGGTTTTTTTGTTTACGTCAAGGTGTTATACCCTGTTGTAATTCTGGATGTTCCTGTTCTGCTGAGCTCTTTGTTTTCCTGTAGTTTAAGAATGAATGCCATGGACTGGTTTTAAGATTCACTTTTCAGCAATTCCTTATTAAATCACTATAGCTAAATTAACTGTTTAGTAGTCTAAACTGTAATATTTTTTTTATAATCAACTTTAGCTACTACTCACTATTGAAGAATGATTCCTTTTTGGCTCAAAAAGTGTAAATTTGTTAGCTTACTGGTGTGAGACAGTTTATGGGAATGCTACCAGGAAAACTCATAAATGAACTCTTGCAGCTGCCTGTACCTCCAGGTTTATCAGTGTGCTGTTTGCTGACCTTGTGTGTATTCTTCATCTTTTATTTGCAGAGTATTACTCTTCAAGCTATTTGCTAAATAAAGCTGGGAGGAGAAGCAACTTGCTGTTCATTTTCTCTTCCTAGTCTTATTTCTCATGGTTATGGAGAAGGGTTGAATGAGGTCTCGACAGCAGAATTACTAGCTCTCTTGCCTGTCTTCCTATGGATTTCCCCTGTGGCAGCTGAAATTAGCACAGTCCATGACATTTTATTTCAGTACTGCTGAGCAGTTCTGAGTATCAGAAATGAAACAGACTCACTGTACTATTCTGTGTTTGCTACTGTTGGTTATCTGAGCTGTGGGCAGCAGCAAAATAAAGGCATGGCTTAGTCTGGAGAACTGAGTGTGTGGCTTTGTAAGCAGCTTAACTGATCTAAGCTTGTACAGCTGCATGAAAACAAGAGTTCTTGCTTTTCCCCTCCATCTTTGCTAGGTTTTGTGTTCTGACTGCTTTCGTTATGCTGGCACTAGCACTCTTAATGCTGTGCAGTCAACTGAACCGGAGAGCAGACTTGTTTTAAAATTAAACGAGTCAAACTAAAACAAGCAAACACACACATGCACTACTTTCCACCAGGCTGCCCCTGGCTGGCCTTGGGGGCTACCAGCCAGCCCTTGTATTGAGTCAAGTGGGGACTGGAACTCTGTGGCTGTGGTAGGGGACGACTGCTTCCTCGGACAGCAGCTTTAGTTGGAGTTGATTTAAGTGCTGACTCCAAAACTATCAGTGAAGCAGCTGTGTATCAGTATCTTTCTCTGCTGACATCTTTGAAGAACACCAACAAACTGCTTAAGGGGGAAGGTATGAGGAAGTCCTTCAAGAAGGTGAAGAACCTGGTGAACAGATCTTGGGGTTAAACTCAGAAAGTGAGAGGAAAGATGAACAAACTCATCTTTTGGGGAAAGGCCTCTTATGATGAACTGTAAAGAAGTGCCCGATTACAACCTCATCAGATCTGCAGTTCTCTCAGAATAACTGAAGTATTAAAGCACTTTCACTCTGGGCTTTTTTAGGAACTCTTGACAAAGGTTTGATTAAAGTTTTAATCTCAATATAAGAAATATTTTTTTTACAGTGAGAACTATCATTCACTGGAAAAATCTCCCTGAGGACATGGTGAAGTCCTCATTACGGGAGGTTTTCAAGATGCAATTGGACAGGGTGCTAGATAACCTCATCTAAGCTCCCTTTCCCATGAAAGGTTGGACCAGCCAATCTTTTGAAGTTCCTGGACTGCTCTTTGGTTCTGTGAATTTTTTGCGTGGGTGATCCACAACAGAAATACAAAAGATGGAGATGCAACTGCTGGTGGGCAACATGTCTAGGAAGGTTCTCCAGTCTGCAGTATATTACATATGTAACTATGATAGAATTACCAGATTTTTAAAATATTGGTGAAGTGCTTGCATTAGAAGAGTCCTCTTCTGCTTCATATTCTCTAAATGCTGGAGGAGGTGTACAGCTTCTGAGGTGTGGGAAGGGAACACCCTTTAAATCTTCCAAGAGCAAGTGTTAGACATGTTGGAGCCTGTAGAGAGGATCTTTCAGCTGTGAAGGAAATTTTAAAGAATTTTTATTTTAATTCTGTGTATGCTTTTGATACACCTACGATAAGTCGTATCTTCAAATATGGTTAATTGCACACAAATTTGACACATTTTGGCATGTCAGTGTTAGGAACTTGAATATGTGTAAATTTTTTTTTGCCTTAAATCTTTTTACAATTATTTCTAAAGCTAAAATCCTTCAGAACTGTTGCTGTTATGTACTTTTTTGTGCTTTCTACTCACAGGCAGAATGGGTATTGTACTGAATCACTTCATAAGGAGTAGGAGAGCATTAGCAGACTTACTGTTTTAGTTTTGAGAGCTGTTCTGTTGTTTTCACAGTGCTGGAAAGTGTGGAAAACTCTTTGTAAGTCTACCCAGATACTGGCAGTATCTGCTTGATACTTTTCTGACTGCTGGAGCTCATGCAGCTTCATTTCCTATGGATTTACGCTGTGTGGTTGATCAGCTATAAGCTGTGACTATTTCTTCATAAATGACAAATTTGAATTAGATACTAATTTATGTTCCAGCTTTTTCTCAAGTTAATGATGTTCAGAATGCCGCCCTTCTCCATGCTAGTGTGCTTTCTTTAGGGCAACTTCCATGAGTTTAAGGTTTTCTACTGTTCTGTGATAGTTGATTGCAAAGGAACAGTGGATAAAATTGTTGGACTAGAGGACATGAGGAAACTCTAGGTAGACACAAAGCTCTTTCACTGAAGGAAAACAATCTCCAAATAGGAAAACTGCGTTTACACAATTTGAAAAGAAACACCATTGAAGTTTTCCATTTTCACTTTTCTAGTAGTTCTTACAGAATTGTACCCATTTAAAATAAAAATTGATAATTGATTTCAGTCTTATTAAACCAAATGTAATCTGTGTTATTGAGACTACAAGGTAATGAAGGAGGGATGCAAAACTAGTTGCCCGATAGGTTGGCTTTGGTGGCAGATGCAGACTAGAAGTTCGTATTTCCTTTCTGCAAAGGCATAGAGAAGAGGGAAGTCAGTAGGAGAGGTGTGAAACTGTAGTGTGGAGCACAGAATTGCTTCAGCTCACATCAGAGGCTCTGATCCCCAGTAAAGCAGGTGGCTAGCAGTGGTCAGAAGGGAGGAGAAATTCCTTGACTCCTCTTCAAGGCTGAAGCCAAAACATGTTTTATTATACTCTAAATGTGTAAATCAACTGAAGCGTGTAGGTTTGCTTAAGTCTCACTCAGAAAAAAATAAGTGTAATGCAGTAAAATAAGACAGACATAATGTGTGCATCTTAACTTATTTGGAAATTCAGGTAAAGCTGATGTGAGGGGAAATGGTCTTGGGTGTTGTGAGAGAGGGAAATAGAAGTTGGTTGGTTTTTTTTTTTTTTTCCCCTCCTGATTTGTAGGGATATTTACTTTTCAGTTTTACTGAGGAGTATGGCTACAGCTGTTTTGTGGATTCTGGTGGTGTACACCTTTTTTTGTGTTCTCTTTATGCAGTTTCCCAGTGTGACAGAAAACTTTATAAAAATCTGTGAAGGAGTTGTGCCTCATTATATTTTTCCCTAGTTACCACATAATTCAGTAAGATGAAATAGATATATATGACTCTTCCATCACTTCTATGCAATTTGATTTTTGGTTGACTAGAAAATCCCATTAAAACATGCTCTGAAACCCTGTCATATGTGCCTTGCTTCAGGGGAAGACAGGCAGGGTGGAAACTTGTATTAAACATGCTGACGGTGCATAACTATTTGGACAAGAAGGCTTTGTTTGCACATTTCTCTAGCTTAGTTTAGCACTTCACAAAGACATTAATTTTTATTGTTTGCTGGCTAATTTTTCTAAATTAAATGAGGTATAAGACATTGGCCTACCAAACAAGTGCTAAATGGAGTATCTGTACAGAGCTATTGCTGTTTACCCTTCACAGTATTGTAACAGTTTCAAGAAAAACTTGAGAATAGTCTTTCAAATGTATGGAATCAGGTCTCTTTTTCTGTGAAAAGAGGAGGCTTGAATATTGAATACAGAGTGATACAGTTGGAGGCTGAATCTGAATTTTGTACAGCCAGTTTGTGTTATTGGAAAATCCATAAAGGTATTATTTGTGACATTTGTGTCATGGTTTTGCTTTTTAAGATATGTTGGGGAAGAAAGTATCTGTAAGAGTTTCAAAGGAGGAAAAATAGTATATTTTTAGCTTTGATCTTGTGACCTTTTCTGAGTGAACGAACACTACCTGCAATGAAATTATATTCTTGTGAATGAACTGTGCCCAGGTACTGTTGCTTGACCCGTCTCTGTCATGCCTGGAGAGCTGTAATCTGAAGTAAAGGTAGTACTAGTTTTTTCTGTTTTTTTTTCTCCCCTACCTGACCCATAATGCTTTTAAAAGGCACACAGCACTCTTATAATCTACTGTCTGCTTATCCTGAATGTTTTGATGTGTCGATTTAGGGGCAGATGGGAGATGCAGAGCCAAATGAAAAAGACATTGTAGATTGTGAGTAGAATCCATCAAAGAGACCACTTGCCATCTGTCAACTCGAATTCTATTATGTTCTGGTATTTACTCCCCTGGTCCTAATCCAATTTTAAATCACTTTGAAGAGGCACTGGATATGGTTACTTACTACATACTAGGCACTGAACCACTTCCCTCCTTTCATGGTCAGGTAGTTACCAATAAAAGGTATATGTGGTATCTCTTGTGTGTATGTAATAATACATACTTTCTTTGAAAAACTGTGATACTAAAATCTGAAGGTCAGCTGACTCCTGAACTTTAGCAACTGGTTGAAACATTTGGGAAATTATGCCTGGCCACAAAATGTAGACGATGCTAAACTAGGTATTAGTAATCTGGAGGTTGTTGGAAGCTAAGTGGTAGCCATTTTAGCATTGTTGGAAGATAAATGGTTAGCCATTTTGGCACACTAGAGAACATAAGAAAGAACTGCTGTACCAGATCAGCTAAAAAATCAGCCTGGTGGTGTGTGTTCTGCCAACAGCTGGCAGGAGATGCTATGGGAAGAGTCTTCAGAGCAGAGCATGGGCAGAGTGAGCCTTCCCTGATAAAGTCCTGGTTATCAGTAAATCAGAAACTTAATGGGATAGAGAATATATGTGGAGAATTGTGTTATAGTAATCACCAAATCTCTTCCTCATTTATTGATTTACTTTCTGTTTTTTAAATCTATTTCTAGTTTTATCCCAAACATCATCTTACAGCAGCAAGTTCTGTATCTTAGGCACTATTTGAAAATTCAGGTCCTTTGATTTACTTACACCTGTGTCAGCTTAGGTCAGTGGGTACCCTCCTGCTTCTCATGTTGTGAGAAATAATGGTTAGCTGTAATGTGTTTATTTTCTCTGGTCACAGGTATATAGCCAAGACACAAACTTAGCCTGACAGACTCTGTGTTTTTCAGTTAGATCAGCTGAATGTCTGCCTTCTCTGAACTGAGTGGTTTGTTATACAGTCATTATTTAAACACAGAGGATTTTTTCTTTTTTCTCTTTTAAATAAAAGCAGCATGTAACTTCTAATCCATATACAATCCAGTTTCCAACTGGAGTTGAGAGCTTATGAGTAATGTTCCTCAGTTTGATGTCTGTAAAGTATGGGAAGATGGTCTGAACTGCAAAATGTAAGTTGGCTTGTTTGTAATTTACAAAACACATGTAAATGTTCCATCTGTATGAAAACAGGGGAACAAAATAAAGGAGGAAAATGAAATGAGTGCACGTTCAAAGCTTCTAATTTAGAGAAGCTGCGAGTGAAAACATGCTATAAAGAAAACTGCAGCAATTCTGATACAATTCATGTGTGGTTTTCTTGAAAAGAGCTAGCAGGTCCATTGATTGTTTTATCTTACTATAAATTAAAAAAAAAAAAACAAACCACATCACTATTCAGTAAGCAGCTGTCACTTTACTAGTATATTAAAAGAGGTTTTTAAAATGTATTTTAAAAAACTTCAGCTTCCTGTAAATGTGAGGCAGAAGGTTCATAATGTAATTTGCCTGGTTTATTGTGGATTGACTTTATTACTTCATTATATTAGAAGCTGGTAAAATTTTGGAAAGGAAGTTGTTGAAAATACTGATAATGGTGGTCATAAACGGGGTGTTAATTTTGTAGTCTGTAATAGAAAGCTTTCATTCTTTGGGGGTGTGTGTGAGAATGTGCTTATTTGTTTGTGGAGTATTTTGGGAGAGGTGAGGGGTGGCTAGGTTGTCTCCTAGTTTCCAGATTAGCTATATATGTCTCTTCTGATGTTTCTGAGCAAACACTCTGGGATTTCATGTTTTTAGCTCTTAGATTGGGCCCTGTGGTATCTTGTGTATTAGCGGTATTTAATTTCCACGATAAGAACATGGTATTTGAAGAGAAGAGATAAGCATGTAGACTGCTTCAGAAATCTCTTACTGTGGTGAGGTTTTTTGTTTCTGGGGAAGTTTTTTGTTTGGTTGGTTTGGTGTTTGGCTTGAGGGAGAGCCTCACGTTACCTCTGTTCTTTTCAACTTGTTTGTCAAATTTTGTAGCTGTGCAGGAAGTTTTGCCAGACATTCACGGTCAACCCATAACAACCTTTGGTCCTTTGCTGAGGAGCTGTTTACCCAGAGCTTCCTTCCTCACAGCTTCTTACTACTTTGAGTGTAGTCATACAGGACGCATTGACTGTATCTGCAGTAGCATTTTGGTTCAGATGAGGAGTAATGCTTTGGAAGCATAACTCCCAGTTATCACCACTTACTGTGCATTGGTTTGCATTGCACAATCATTTCAAAGTACTCAGACTGAATTACTTTTGGATGAAAGTAAACCGGAAGATGCACTCCAAGAGCACACCTGTTGCAGTCCCACTGCTGCACAGTGTTCAGCTCAAGGAATCAAATTAGACCTGTCCCAAAGTAAAATTCTCAACGTGTGTGTTGTATTAATGTTGGGTCCTCTGCACAACTGTTTTGTTCTTCAGAGACTTCTGGAGTACAGAGAAACTCTCTAAGTAGCCAGGGATCAAGTTAGGAAGGCCAAAGCACTGACAGAATTAAATCTGGCCAGGGACATCAAAGGCAACTTAAAAAGCCTTTACAGGTATGTTGGTGATTAAAGGAAGGCTAGGGAAGATATGGGCCCTCTCTGGAAGGGAAAGGGAGACATGGTCACGCAGGATATGGAAAAGGCTGAGGTACTCAGTGGCATTTTTGCCTCAGTCTTCACTAGCAAGGGCTCCAACCACACCACACCAGACACCAGAAGATAAAGGTGGGGACTGGGAGAAGGAGGAACTTCCCACTGTAGAAGATCAGGTTCCTTAGATGGTTTTGAACCTGAAGGTGCACAAGTCCATGGGACCTGATGAGATGCAT